TTTCTCTTTCACCTTCCTGTTCCTTTCCTTGCCATCTTCGTCGATCAATTCTTCACTTTCTCTTTCACCTTCCTGTTCCTTTCCTTGCCATCTTCATCAATCAATTCTTCATCAAACAACAAAATCCACAAAAACACATAAATAAATATATATATATATATATTTTTTCATCAAACATCACCTTCTCCTTCCTCATCAAACATCAATTCTTCAACAAACATCAATTCTTCAAAGGTACCCAGGTGCTGGGTTCAATTGAACCCAACAGGCACCCTTTCTCCTTCTTCTTCCTTGCCTTACCTTCTCCGTCAATAAATTCTTCTCATCATCAAACACAAAACCCAAACAAAAAAACAAAAAATAGAAATTTTTTTTAGTTTTTGCCCGTGGGTTCGAAAGAACCCAAGGATGGGTTCCTTCGAACTCGGTGCCAGGTTCGAAGGAACCCAGGCGTTGGGCTCCTTCGAACCCAGCGTCGGGTTCAAAGGAACCCCAACGCCTGGGTTCCAAGGAACCTAGAAACCCATGACCCCAGTGGAAAGAGAATGGGAAGGAGAAAGGGGAAAAAAAAGGGTTTTTTAAGTTTTTTTTGTCATATTAATATTTTTTACCATATTATTATTTTTTCCATATCACTATTTGTTTGCCATGTTGTCTTCCACGTATTTTGACATGTCATAGTGTTACCGTGAATTAATAGGACACGTCATGCGATTTTTAACGGAGGGACCAAGTCGGGGTTAAAATGGGAAACAGTAGGGACCAAGTTAGGGATTTTTTGAGTTGAGGGACTCAATCGGGGGTCCGTACAATAGTTGAGGGACCAAAAAGGAGGTTTAACCAATAATTAATTATGATATTTTAAAATATATATTTATAAATTAAGTTTAATATATTAAATAATAAATATTAACTATTTTATTAATTATTTTTAATAATTAAATTAAAATAGAAATTTAACAACTTTATTAATCCAAACAAAAGTAATAATAACCATAACCATGGCCAAAGAATTAATGGCTGTCTGTCTTTTATTTAAATCTGGGATCCAATATTAACAGAATAACAGAGTAGAAATTAAATTGCTGATCATATCTCTTGTAATTGGTACGTGCAACATGAAAAAGTGGGATTATATGAAATGAACAGAGTCCCCGCAATTACTATTATTATATATTCAGGATTAACTTTCATGTTTTAAAAGATGAGTAAGAAAAATACAACCCATTTTTCTACTGAAGCTCTGCGATGTGCCCTGTCCGGGAAGCTGCAACGTAGTCCATCAGGAGTCCCACACCGACCTTTTCACCCTGCGCTTCAGTTGCAAGCTGTGAGAGACCACCAAAGCCAACCGTCACCACCAATAATACTGCAGTCGAAGCCAAAAGAGGCCAAAAGTAAGTCAAAACATCCACCGCACGAGGGGCTACATACCCTAACAACCCAATAATCACTGAAGCTACGATTGCTATGGAAATCTTTTGCCTGTATTGGTTGAGCTTTTGTGGGATATCCGTGGCCATCAAAGTTGAGAGAGAACGATAACTCCTTTTTAATAAGGAAGAGGAGATTATATATGGTGTTTGTACTTCTTGGAATTTTGTTTCATTTTGGTATATATGCTTTGTGCACTTCTGGGATTGGTCGGTTGATTAATTTGTCCTCTAAGTGGTCTGAAATTAAGATTAGTACTTAGGACAGGAAAGGCATGTCTCTCTAGCTCCTTTTTCCTTTCTAATATACAATCAATGGCCGCGGAAAAGGGAGTAAAAAATAGATAAAAGAGTTTCCTTTCTAATATATTTCGTCCAAGAAGAAATGACTCGTCTTTTTTCTCGTCTTTTTTTTTTTTTTCTTGGATGGGTTTTCCATGAAAAGCATGACTTTGTGGATTTCCTCGAAGTGAAGAAACTATTCCTCCCCTGTAAAGTATTAGACGCTCATTTTAGTCATTTGCTTGTTTCCCCCACTATCGGATTGTGGATCAAAATGAAGCCTTTTCCTAGATTGGCAATTAGGCAGCTAGCCCAACAAAGAATGGGCTAGGGTAGCTTAATATGGTTAATGCAAAATGGGCTTGATTTGTAGTTAAGCCCATCCATTTTGTTTGCTTTTCTAGCCTTGTCCATGTACCATGTCTCGTTTTGATCAAGTTCATGGCAAAGCCTCCATGTATTGATGATTGATTACTGGATAGGGTTTATGGTTGAAACCAGGATTGATTATTGGATAGGGTTTATTGTATTTTGTATTAACAGGATCCAAAATTAAAAAGTATTGTATATTATTTCTTTTAATGGGTAGGACTTTACAACTATAAATAGTTAAAATTTTAAAAATTTTTTGAGAGAAAGGTGGATTACAGTGCCTAACCCTTTCCTAACATAAGTTCGCTCTTACATGCATGGTATGTGCCTGAAGTTGAGAATAAAGTTAGCTTAGCCAGAAAAAAAGTTAGCGTAGTGAAAAAATTTTGAGAACAGAGTTAGTTCCAATTGTAAGTACATTTTACAATATAAATTATGAAGTTGCTTTCATGATAAGTTCTGCTTTAGATGCCGAGCCACGTTGTTTTATTAAATGAGCTCCGCCTAAAAATTAACATTACAAGTTGATACTTAGTTTTCTCATATAAATTTATTTGCTAAAATTTTATAAAAAAATTAAACTAAGATAACTAAATTAAATTAAAATTAAATTAAATATTAATTATGGTGCGGGTCTCATATGCACCTATATAATTTACAATTAAAATAATTTTATTTAAAATTTTTATCTTAAAATTCAATCTCAATGATCATTACTCTTAAATAAAAATAATTCTTTTTTTTTCATAAAGAAAAATAATTTATCTTAGAACATTATTTAGTTTTGAAAGTGAGTGGAAGGCAGCATCAGCCATGACGTGAAGTGGGCCAAAGTTTGTTGAATGTTGAAAGTAATTCATATTAGAATTAGAATATTATTTAATAGATTTTTTAATTTGTATTTTTAAGATATATATTAAATACATAATTAATATATTTTTTAATCATTAAATTATATAAAGAATTAAAAAGATAACATTAACTTTAACATTAATATTGTTATATGTTTTAATGTAATTTATTAATTATTAAAGTTAAAGTTAAATTTTATTTTTTTATATAACTTAATTATTAAAATGCATAATAAATACTTTTTCTTAATATGTAGGCGGGAAGAATCACATGAGATTAAAACCTTTATCTAATTTTAAATGTGAGTGGAAGGCAGCATCAGCCATGACCTGAAATGGGCCAAAGTTTCACTACTAGAAAACCTTATGTCATCGGCTAAATATCACCAACACGAGAGTTTTTGTCGTCAACAACGATTTTACCAACGATTTTACTGACAAAGAACATGTCTTTACAGTGTAAAATAGTAAAATTTACATTAATTTATGTTATTTCGAGGGATAAAGATACGTACACCCACCGGTTCAACACCGGTTAGTGCACATATTATAAAATAAAAGTTTTTCTTGTATAAACCAAATAAATGTAAGAATAAAATTACAAATTTAACCTTCCTCCTCTTTTTCTTCCATCATCCTCTAATCACCATTTTTACCCATCATCTCCGATCTTCATCATCCTCCACCTTCATCACCGATCATTCTTCTTCTTTCCCTCACTTCTTTCTTTCTTCTTCTTTTTTTTTTTTTTTCTTTGTCTTGGTGGAGAACCCGAGCTGGGTTCACTAGAGAACCCGAGCTGGGTTCTCATGGTGGGAACCCAATCTGGGTTCTCATCAGAGAAATTCTGATTTATTTTTTTTGGATGGATGGATTTGGTGAAATGCTTGAGTTTTCCTGGGATTTGGTTGTTGAATGTGCTTGAATGCTTGAGTTTTGTTGGGATTTGTTCCATGGGAAATAGATTTAGTGAGAAGGGTAAATTTGTAATTTTACTGTTTAAACCAATTTGGGTGTAAAAATGGGTGTCGGTTCATGGGTGTACGTATCACTATCCTATTTCGAATATAGATGAAAACTTCGTCAGTAACTTCATCCTACAAAAACGTGAAGTTTGTCGGTGATGAGGTTTCCTCTTACCGACGAAGCTGGCATCATAAATTAATAACCTCCTACAACTTGCACCTTCTCGGTAATATTCCAACACCGTTTCTGCTCCAACCGGGCTTGGTGAAGTTAAGGAACTTGCAGCTTTTGTGTGTACCAACTAAAATTCGTCGGTAAAATGCCTTTTCTGCAACCATCATCCTCTCGGTGATGGCTCTGGCGAACCAGCCCTCTGATGCAATGCAGGAGGTGTGATGCACTAAAATCACCCTAGCAAGTGTACTAGTCGTTTCAAGTAATATAATGATGAGAAAAGTGTCGAACCCACGAGGATTGTGTCTAACTAAGTATCAAAATAATTAATCCAAATTTATTTGGACAACCAAATGGGAAGAAAGTTTAACTAAAAAATAATAAAAGGAAAATAACAATTAAATCTAATCAAGATAGGAGATACGAAGGCATTGATTTCACCATAATCAATCAATATAAATTCTGGATTAATATACTTTCAAAACCAATTTATTGAGTGTTATTGCATGTGATAGCGGATTTCTCTAAATTAATTAACTAGCTTTCTCAAGCCAAGTTAATCCTTCACTTGTTTGTTAAATTAATTATATCTCTATGTAATTTTAAACAAACTTATGAGCATTAAATTCTATGGAAACCTCTAACTTAAGAAGGGGGAGCTCCTAACTCTCTTCTCTTCCTCCACTACCACATGTGAGCTAATTACCTCTTGGTCTCATAGTCTAGCATACGGTTTATATTATTATTGGTCTAATCTACGCAATTCTTTCTCAAGTTCATGCATAAATTACTAAATCAATTGAAAGGTGATCATACTTCCAATGCATTAAGTTCAATAATATAAACTTCTCATGCAAATAACTTTAATTAAAAACATAAAATCACAAAATCTTTATTAAATTGATTAGGCTACATCGTAGCCCTAGTAGAATAAATCAGTTCATAATAAAAATAATAAAATCTACAATCATAGTTATGAACAAGGAAGAATAAAACCTAATTTGAGAAAATTGCAATCCTTGATCTTTTATTGTTAAATCCTCTATCTTGACCTTCAATAATGCCCAAAAGAGGGCTGCCACAAGCCTCCCAAAGCTCCCTTAATTCTGAATTTGGATGGGTATTTATAGGATTTTAGAAACCCTAATTGAAATAGAAGTAGGACTTGGAATAGAAATAGGAAACTGAATTTTGGATGCTGATCGCGTGGTGCTGACACTTTGGATTACGTGTTGACACAAAATAAGAAACAGAATCTGGACGTTTAACTCATGGTGTCGACACCCCGATCATGTGTCGACACTACACCCGTGTCGGGTTTCTGGTCTCCTTTTGCAATTTCTTCAATGGTAAAATAGTAGATTTGGTTCCTGACTTCTGGATTTTGCACAAGTTTATCCTCAAGTCTCTGATCTCTTCAATTTACTTCTAAAAAGTAGCATTTCTTCCAATTAAATCCTTTCATACACAAAGAATGAAAACCATGTAAAATCAAACAAAATATCATAAAATTCATCCAAATATCAATAATATCAAAGTAAAAATACCCTATTAATATGTATATAAATTTAGCTCATCAAATTCCCCCAAACTTAAGTTTTACTCGTCCTCGAGTAAAATAAATAAAAAAATAAAAAAAGAACAAAAATAAAATCTAACTCACTTTCGTAAGAATCACGATTGCATTTAGCATGTGCAACAAGCCTTTAAACCCCTAGGTCACCCTAGTGGACGAGTTGTGTCTC